GACCAAAACAAAGTATTTGGGGATCATCTTGAATTTCTCCAGCCCAGCTATGGAGTCAATTGGATGCTTCTCTGCAGAAGCTTGACTTGTTTTAGTGGGAAATGATAGTGAGAAGCCTTGATCCAAGTGATGAATCTATTTTGCTGCTGCACCTTACTTCGTCAGGGCTCTTAGTGGGCAGAATGAGTGAACACATGTGTATGTGGTATTCGAATGCATGTGTGTAGTCACAGTCACAACTGCGTGTAAGTTCATGTGCATACCCTGAAATTGCCATCCAGTGTTAGCTCTTATAGTTCTGTCTTCCTCAGTCTCTGGGAGACACCTGGTTTCGGTGTTTGTAGTCCTCGTCTTCTGAGTCCTGCTTGTACTGTACCTCCTGTTACCTTCCTCCCGTGTGGACTTTCTGCTCACTCTGCATGCACAGAGCTCTCCCCAGTCTGATCTGCACTCCCTCCCAGATTCTAGCTCTGTCTTGGGTGGATAACCTGCTGTCTTTTGGCCTGGATGGAGAAGCTGGGGATAGGAAGGTTGGCAGCCACTGAGAGATGTCATCTGACTTTGTGAGTTAGCCTCTCAATGTGCTGTGGTACCCAGACTTAGGAGCACAAGCGATCTGACACTCAGGCAGTTGCTGGTTCTTTGGAGCCTGTCCTGAGAGCAGAAGTCCTCTACCCTGTCTGCCCATACATAGGCCCTTGTAGATCCACCCCAATACTCTGACCATTCGTGGATTTGTTTTGTTGAAAGTGTTCGCCAGGGTACACAAGGCCTGGGAAAAGAAAGGCCTAGGCCCTAGGGACACCCCATATCCTCCAGTGACCCTTCTCCTGCAGCGCAAAGGGACAGAATTTTCTTATGGGTTGCCAATTTTTGTTAAGGATAAATATTTTAGGCTTTGATAGCCATATAGCCTGTCACAATCTGTCACTGTACTATTCTGGTGTGAAAGCTGCCTCAGCCTCAGTCGAGTGTGGATGTGTTCCAATAAAACAGCTTACACAACACACACAGCTGCCAGATTTGGCCTGAGGCTGCAGTTTGCAGACCCTTGATCCGAAGATGAAGGTTTTGAAATTTACATTTTAAGCTCCCCAAATTCAAGTTATGCTATTGATGGGGGATGTAACAATTAAACCCAAAATAATCACCTGTGTTGACTCAAACAGTTCTTGTTGTGATTTTTTTTTTTTTTTAAACTGCTCTTGTTCTTACAAAGATTACTCAACACATAATCCTTCCCTGGGTTGAGCCAGTCCATAGAGGCAGATCTCGGGCTTGCTTTTGCTTTTTCACTCATTCTTAAAACTCTCTTGATTGATCTCAGATTAAACGACTCACATATAGCAGAGATGTTGAAAATTATGTCAACCCCAAGTGTTTGCAGACCATGGCCACAGGTCCTTCCAACACTCAAATTAGTCACTTAGTGCGACGCTTAGCCCAGGGCAGGAGACTTGCTTCATTAGGGCAGACACACCAGGAGGAGCTGGCTGCAAAGGAAGCAAGCCCTTGGGTATTTTGCTGTTGACATAGATGTATTTGGACAACATAGCCAGTACGCATGCCTGGAATGTTATTTGCAAGTAGTCTGTGCCAATCTCAACTCAGATGTCACTTGCATTTGCTAAGTTGGTTCTCCATCTAGGATGGTGAATAGCTTGGGGTGAATAGCTTGGTGGCAGAGAGAGTAATTAACAAATTAGAAGCCTTAGACTCATGCCCCAACACTGAAATCTAAAACAAACAAAAATTCACCGTTGTGGTTGAGAGCAATATTCTGCGTCCAGACTAAGGAGGGCAGGCAGGCGCAGCTCAGAGGACAGCAGCGTGTGTGGGGCTAACAGCTCGCAGTTAAAACAGTAACATCTGAAAAGTGGTCTGAGCTTCCCCAGTGCATGTCAGCTGCCCATTGGCTAGGTGACACGCTTGCTTATTGTCTATATGACTGTCTTGTCTGTTTGTAGAGTTGAAGTGTTGTTTCTCTAAACTGGAAACAAACAAACAAAAAACCAGCCCTGCTGCTCCTTGCTGGAAAGGCAAGCCTTTGTCTGTTACCAGCCCTGCTGCTGAGGTACAGAATCTCTGCCAGTCCCAACTTGAGAACAATCGAGGCTCATCCCCTCAGGCCCCTTCTGCAAGAAGTATGTGAGGTCATCAACTTATTGTAGATTTCAAATCATCGCCCATTGGCCTCACTGACCTGCGTTTTGTGGGCACTTGTGTTTTGGAGGATTCTTTGAGTCTTGGGCCCAGCTGAGCTAAATGTGGAACCATGGACGTGGGAGGGAAAAGCCCAACACACTCAAACCAGGAACCTCATAAACAGAATTTGCAAAAGAGAAACATGGCCTTGGATCCATGTGACTCATCCCATGAGACCTACTGTGAACCTACTAGGTAGGTCTGCAGGGCACTAGAACCCCTTGCCTTGGAAAGAATACAGGTGAAGAATAGTTCCCATTGGCTGTCCAGGGCGGGGTCAGTAAAGATGCTACCAATGAACCTCCACCCCAGCCACTGTCCAAA